CCACAGTTTCGGGTAGGGTGCATTCAGGGATTAGGATTCGAGTTGGGGTCCCAGGAGTTTGGGTTTTTAGGGCCGTTCTTCAAAGCTGGTGTTTCTTTTGGGCCTAGGTCATGGGGTGTTTTCCTCTGCCTTATGTAGTAGTGACCATGTTCGAATGCGGGTCGATATGTACTCCATCCCTCTGTTCGTTTAGCTGGCCGGACCAAAGCCTTAATGCCAAACCCTAAAGCCCTATAGAAACCCCTATCCGTGAAGAGAGACAGAGACAGACTCACTACCCCAAGAAGCCACAGGATCAAAAGGGTATAAACTTTCCGATTCCTGCTAAACTATAAGAACCCAAAAAGTTTAAAGATTAGGTATTAGGGATCTAAGGGGAGAAACCGTAAACCCTAACCCCGAAAAGCAAACGTCCAGACATGCTGAGAACGTGGCCAGGAGGCTCTCCTCACGCTCGACGTGCCTGGAAAGCAGCGTGCGGTTCAGGGTTTAGGGTTCAGAGGGTTAGAATGAGGGCTAGTAGGGTGTAGGGCGTCGGTTGATCAGGATATTGAAAAAACTGTATTTATAACCGTTATCGGAAGGGTGGTATACGGTTTAGTATACGGGCTTTTATACGGTATTGTCAGGGATACCGGGGTTCCTATGAGAGTTCTGAAGAAGTTCGTCACAGCATTTGAGGCTGCTGTTGGGTTCACGGGGCTTAGAAGTCTTGGGGGTTTACGGCTTTTAGGGGCATAGGCTGTTTTTTGGGATTTGGGCTTTTTAGGGGTCTAGGATCTGTTCTTTGCTTCGGGTATCTTGTTGAGTGTGGCGTATCTGCGGCGCTTTGACCATCACATAGTTTAACATACATTCTCCTAGACAGAGTCTGGGCATAAAGCCCAGAACTCCAAAGCCCCAAACCCCCCCCCCCCCTCCCTCCCCATCTGTAATATTTCTGATGCCCCTAAACCCCTTTTTTACACCTGGACTACGCATATGCCAGGAACTGAGGGGCCGACTGCGCTGTGGGCTCGTGCCACACGGCTACCCCAGATTGCAAGAACTGATCAACTGGTCATCCCAAGTTTCAGGATGCAACGACCACGTGGCTACAACTCCAAGATCCTTAAAGATTCGGGAAGTAAGTGCCGGAATATCAGGCAACAACACATCACCCCAACGCCTGAACCCTAAACCCCTAAACCCTAAATTTTAAACCCTGATCCCCTAAACCCATCTCTCTCTCTCTCTCTCTCTCTCTCTCTCTCTCTCCCAAACCCTAAACCCCTAAATCCCTAAATCCCTAAATCCCTGAACTGGCTCATGCTCCGGTCTTAGGCCCTCTCCTGGCTTTGGGGATCAAGGCTCGGGCTTGACGGCTCTACCCCAAAGCCCTGACACTTGAAGGGCTTAACATTACCTTTCTATCTGCTACACACACACACACACGCATATATATATATATATATACACACACACATGCTCATATGTGTAAATGTGTATAAGAATATGATTATATATATATATATACACACACACATTTACACATGTATGTACATACTTACACATACATGTAGTTTCTATTGTCATTTCTCGGTTAGCCAGCTTTTGTGGCTGCTAAGCCCACCTCAAGAGTGGTCCGGCTCTCTGGCGAAGCTTCTCGAAGGCGGGGAGTGTGATGTGGATCTGATTGGTTCGAAGTTGGGAACCCCTAAACCCTAAACCGTGGCTCGAAGTTGGGTTTAGGGTTGCTCTGAAGGTTCGGATTTGCCTCTGTAAGGTACTATGCCTGGACCCTCTAGAATCTGCCATTACAGGCTTCCGTTTTGATTTCCATAGGTCCTGAAAAAAGATCGGTTCCTGAGGGCCCAGGAAGGTTTCGGGTTGGTGCAAAGTCTAAGGTTGCAGCGGTTTAGGGTTTAGGGTTGTAGGGTTTGGAATTACGGTTTTGCTTTCGGCTTAAGCCGGGGGGTTGGGGTAGGTTTGTTTGAGGTTCGAGGAGTCCACTTCGCTTTTTTGGGGGGCTTCCTGATTCAAAACCAAACCCCTAACGCCTGAGCCCTACAGCCTAACCCTAAACTAAACCTTTTAACCCTAAATCTGAAAGGAGCACGGATTCCCGAACTGACAACTCGGGCGTGTGTATGTCCAGGGCTTTGAACTTAGGGTTTCAGGCTGGTCTTGCCGTTGAAGGATGGTTGTTTAGGCTCAGGGTTTGGCATGTTGACATTTGGCTCCTGAAAGTCTACACCCCTGCCGTGAAGGTGTTGTGGGTTGCAATAATTTTGCAGTAATAATAACAGAACTAACAACAATACGACGAAGAAGACATACTAAGTGTCCCGGAGAGTACCTCGCAGACTCATACCCGGCTCCACGCCAGCCACAGACAAGGCCCGTAAAAATCAGACACAAAGCCAGACACCTGCAATCTGCAAGACTACACAAGCACGCGTAGTACAAAGGTCTGAGTAGTTGGTAATAACACCTCCTTCCAGTTCATACATATCTCATATAACTATACTGTAGTATACGCCCCCCCGCCCCAACCCTTTTCTAACAAATTCGGCGGGTCCATGTTTTCAGCCTGCAACTTTACCGAAAGCATCTTACGAGGCTACATTGAAGTAAAAACAGACAAATGAACATCTATGCCCTTGCGGTTTCGGATAGGGCTGGGGTTGACGATCTCAACAAACGGATGCCAGGTTGCCTGTAAACCAGAAAGACACAACTCAAGTCAATACGGAGTCGGGCCACAAAGTACTCGCGAAAGCGCTCCGGTTGGGATGCTTGAACATATTTGTGTTAATTAGGGGCCAAAAAGACACGACCCAACATCCACGAGCCTAAACGCCACTCACTGACAATTAAACCCAACCCCTTCACGCCGGCCTCTCCGATGATGCGATCGCCCTTCTTGTGCAACCTGAGCACAACCCGAAATGGCAACGATTTCGTGCCCCAACGACGGGGGCCTTAATATTTGTTTGGTGCTCATTATGCGACACTTATAATAAGCAACCCCCAAAATAGTGTTGGGAAGTAGTTAGTCCCTATATTACATCTGCTTGACTGCTGCAGTGTGCGGCCCCATGTTCTCGATGGAAGACCCACTTCACACTCAGGTCCACATGGTTTAGGGTCTAGGGTTTAGAGAGTTTAGGGCTTAGGGCACAAAAAATAGCAAAAAGCAAACTCAAACATGTCACAGCATTCAGTTCCAGGTGAATTCGAAGAGCCCGGGTACTGTGTGCACTCAAGTTGTGCTATGCTTGTAGCCCGAAGCCCCAAAAAAGCAGAATAAGAACCCACTCGCCCGACAGGTCTCCTGAATGACGAAAAATAAGGCTTCCCAGACGATATGTTTTTTTTTTTGCGAAATGTTCAGACTGAGCACTACATGGAGCGGGCTCCCGTGGGCCGAAAATCGCACAAAGCCGAACCATTCCGTCGCACACAGGCTGACTCGACAGCAGCACTGACTACATAAGGCTTCATAGTAGTTCCTTTTGGGGGTTCATATTTATAATCGTATAGGGTACTCCCAAAACGGAACCACTATGGAGCCTCTGGGTAGGTCGAGACGATTCGTGGGACTTATGCGGGCCACGCGGAGCAGGATCCGATCTCACATGCCTACATACATGCACCAAACACTGAGGCAAAGGCCCACGGCTGGAGTGGAAGATGACATTCAACCTCGAAACCGTCGAAGGATTCTAATGCTGTAAGTAAGTATAGAAAAAGTGGTGAGGGTTAGGGTTTTTTTGCCTCCCACCCAGCTAGGTCCAGGGGTCAAGGGTTTATAGGCTTCAGTTGAGGGTTGAAGGTTGAGGGGTTTCAGGGCGTTTAGCGTAGACCGGTAGAAAAGCACCCCAATCCTTCTTGCAAAAAGCCGCTGGAATGCCCTGGAAGCCAAGCTACCTGTGTGGTTGGATTCTGATACTGTCCCAAAAAGCCCATGGTGTAGCAACCCGGTGTGCAGGTACAGTAGCTGCGCTTGTGAGCAGAGTCCCCTCTTGACCCTGCTGCCCTTCGCCCTACCCAGAGAGCCCAATACCCCTTAAGTAAGGAATGTGGCTTAAATTATGTAGGGCTTCATATTATGATTTAAGCCATATTCCTTAATTAAGGGGTATTGGGCTCTCTGGGTAACCCCGAAATCTCATAACCCAAACCTGAGGGACTCAACCCGCAACAAAACACACAAACTACAAAATCCGTAGAATGCCATCCAAGCCTCTCTGGAACCCTACACCCTAAACCCTACAATCCAAAGTTTGGACGCAACAGAGTGTCCAAAGCCGAAGACGGAAATCCGGGCAGGCTGCATAAGCTTCGATCGGTTTAAGGCTTCAGATGTGAGAAAGGGTTTAGGCCTTGTAGAGGTTTTGGGTTTTTTAGTGTTAAGGGCTTCAGAAGTGTTATTGCTTAGGCGTTTTTAAAGGTTTTAGGATTTTGGGGGTTTAGGGCTTCATGATTTTGAGCGAGGGGTTGTGGCTTTCATTTATTCCGAAGCAACTTATTTGATACACTGTTTTGCGCGGTAAAGCTCCTTGTGGCACAAACTGTTTCAATCTTACGCTCCGTGAATATATAAAACTAAGCTTGGTAAGCACTAAACCTTAAACCCTGAGGGCTAGGTTCGTAATCAGCTGGGGCACTAAACCTTAAACCCTGAGGCCTAGGTTCGTAATCAACCGGGGCTGGTCCATCAAGCGCAAGGCACTTGGTGCAAGAAGGCTCCAAGGCATGAAGCTCAGAAACGTTCTGGGGTTTACAGTAAACCCCATAAAGTTGGAAACCGGATTAAGGCTAAATAGTGCTGGGATTCCCTATACATTAGGAGAAAGGATTGAGGCTATCGGGTTTCCAACTTTGGCTTCTACTGTAGGTTTAGGGGTTTCGGGTTTAGGGCTGTTGGGTTCACAGCTTTCTCTCCGTCCTACAAGCCCAAGTAAAGCGACTTTACAGCCTGAAGCCCGAATGCAAGCCGCAAGATCTTTTGTTCTTCACTCTGGCCGGAAGTGGCGCAGCCGGAAGCGGCCATGCAAGGAGGGCAAAAGAAGGGGGCTGGCCGCAGTGTCTTCTCCTCCATGCCTCGTGGCTCTAGATTCTTGCACTCAGTGCGAAGCTGTCTGAACTAGCCTAAACTCTCGGACACCCTCCAAGTTTAGAACGGAACGAAACCGAACAGCCCAAACAGCTGCCAACATGGCCGTGGCACGTGGAAAGGAACGTCACGAAAAGAAGTGGCAGTGGCTTCGTCGATCGATTCTCCGACTCGCATCGCAAGGTCTGCTCATCGTAGATCACAGCATCACCTGTCGGTCTAACACGGTTTTTGGGCTTCAGATTGCCGTTGTGTGAATGTCGCCCGAATAGTGGATTGGTAGTTCCCTCCGTACACGACAGCCTGCAGCATACCTGTAGTACATGGATCTGAATACAATTCCGTAATAAGGAGCCCTAAGAATAAGTGATCGGGCAGGGTTCCACATTGCCCCCCTTAAAACTTGTTTAAGTCATGATGGATCATAGAAGCACCGTTTTCTGACAGGTCTCTGGGAGTTTGGGGAGGTGCCTTAGTGACTAGAATGAAGTTGGCTCGGGGGGACCTTATATCCGTTTGGAGTCTCTTATGCTGTATAAAATCGAAACACATAGGGGCTATACAAGCAAATACTCTAATTACGTACTCTGGTGCCAAGACTACATGCTGAAGCCTACATACCACAACTCTATGTTGGGGAAACCCGAAACACTAAACTAAAACAATGCCATCTGATTGAACCCTCAGGTCCCTGAATATGGAAGGGTTTCATACTGCGGTATCTTATAACAAGGAGCCAGCCACTATAGACATGGGCAAAGGACCCGCGCTCCTAAACGCAGGCATGTGGCCGCCTGCAATTATTTCCCTAAGGCTCCATGTGCCCATATAGTATATACTTAGGCCTTAAAGTACCCATATAGGGACCCCTGTAAGGCTTAAGTATCTACTATAAAGGTACATGGAGCCTTTGGGTTTGCTGAAGCCCCGTCCTCAACCCCCTTCCAACGCACAAGTCAATGCGACTTGCACCCTAACACCCAACCCGCAACTCGAAGTCCCCAGCCTGAAACGGCCCCAGATTCTACGACCGATACACCCTGACCTCCTCAACACCGGCGGCACCGGCCTGCTTTCAACAAAGGAGCAGCGGGCTCACGCTGGTCCAGAAACTCGCGCGGCCCTTGCTCGAAGTGATCGTGGGCAAGAGGAGTATTCGTACCTCCAGGAGCTGGATGTCTCAGAAAATGCGAGATCTCCACACATACCCTTGAGGCTCCATAGTAGTTCCTTTTCGGGGGTTGATTTTTAGAATCCTATACGGTCATCCCAAAAAAGTACTCCATACTATGGAGCCTCTGGCTAGAGCCCAGGTGATAGGCCTAAACCCTTTTGCATCCAGGCCTATTGCGACTGCCGGGTACCCTGAAGAAAGGAAACGGAGAGCCAGGCACATCTGCTGCAGGGTTTAGGGTTTAGGGTTTAGGGTTTAGTAACCGCCTGAACGCGTCTTCATCATCGCAGCCCAGATGGGGACTCAGAGGTTTGGGTGCTTGTGCCTTGAGTCTCCACCAGCTTTGTCACTGCCTAGCAAAGCATATGTATTATATATATATATATATATATAGATATTGAGAAAACAATGATTAAATATTCTCATACTTGTATATGTTATACATACATATGTTGTATACCAGACATGTATACGCATATGTACAAGTGACTGTAATTATATGTAGAAGCGTATGTGAACAAGAAAAAGTAGGCGCATACATGTGTGTGTATATATATAAATGTATAAGCAAAAGTAATGTATGTGTGCATGCATACATGCATGCCTATGTGTATGTGTATGTGCATGTGTATATGTAGTATGTGTATGTGTAAGGATGCAGACACCGACTGATGCGTCGCTTAGCATCTCGAATGCAGTTTGAAACGTCCCATACGTAATCAAGTCACGATGTGTGCCTCCATACAAAGATAAGGTCGTCCTAGATTGTCCACAGAAATGCTTCACTCATGGTTTATGCACACATGCATGCATGGATGCATGTATGTATGTATGTGTATGTATGCATGTAAGTAAGTGAGTATGTATGTATGCATGTATGTGTGTAGGAGTGTGTGTGTGTGTGTGTGTATGTATGTTTGTATGTATGTATGTACGTATGTGTGTGTATAATATATACATATATATATATATTTATTTATATATATATATATGTATACGCATGTGCATATCTATATGAGCAGCGCCGTGCGGAGACCCACATATATATATATATATATATATATATATATATATATATATATATATATATATATATATATATATATATATATATATATAAGTAGATAGATAGAAAGATAGAAAGATATGTAAAGTATGCTTACAATCTTTACGTATATATGCATCTAAATATGAACTACAGTAATGTTACTCCTACTATATATATATATATATATATATATATATTTTTATATATTTACCCACATATTATAATGTGAGTCTCTGTATACCCATGTATGTCTATGCTGTATAGAGATGGAACGCCGAAGCTCATGGCCTTTGCATGGTCCCTTGGGCTCAGGGTGACACACACACACAGCTGCTGTTGACCCCTCCAAGCCTGGCCAGAAATGCACAGGGCCCATGTCGTAGGACCTCTGACTGCAAGGGATTAATCAAGGCTTGTAGGGCTGAGAGTTGAGACAGATTGAAAGCTTAGTTCTATCGGGCTTAGCATGAAAAGTCGGAATTGCTCGTGTCAACGAAGCATGGCATCCAAGGAGCACATCCTCGAGGGCAATGGCCGCAGTGTAGAGTCCAGGCGTGTCAGTGTAGCGCACGCGCCCAGCCGCCTAGCACGTGAGGTCAACAACACTGCTGATACAGCATTTGAACCTCCTTTCGAATGTTGGTACTGTTAAAACATTATGACAACCCACAATAGGACAAATTCATGGGCATGTGCTATCCTTGATAGCAATTCGAACTAGCATGCTATACAATGTATGCGTCTGTGCATACTCAAGGACATTGTCATCCGGAGATACAGCTTCGTAGCAGTACTCCCGCAGCAGGTCACATGCGTGTACTACACGCACCTTTATCTATTACATCTATAATATGTATTACATCTCTGCATCTATATCCACATAATGTGTACCGCAGCCTTATGCACTGTATGGCACAGTGCAGCCCGTTTAGTTGACGGGCCTGCCTTTTTGCTGGTGAAATCTTGATAACAGCGCTAAACCCTAGACCCGGCGGCAACGACACCGACGACGGTGAACCCAAACCCTAAACCCTGAACAATATTAGTTCCACCGCTACTGTTTCGTTCTGCTACAGTACTACCTCTACTGCATCTGAAACACAAACAACAACAAACTCTGCTACTTCTGCAACCTCAGCAACAACAAAGTTTGCTCAAACCACGATGAACCCTCTTTCTGACGGGGAACAGCCCCCGGCATCGACATCGCTGCGTGCAGGGCACAAAGCCTGAGATCCGCTCGGTTCAGTGGCATGTAAACAGATTAAACCCACAAAAAACGATAAAACAAAAACGACAAAACACAACTGTGTGTTCTTGAAAAGAATATGGATCCCAATCTAGGTGTTTGATATTGTTAGTAACTCTTAGCAGAGCTACTATCTTTCTAGCAGCTAGCCTAAGGCCCCAAAGTAGTTCCTTTTTGGGGTTCGTATATAGAATCCTATAAGGTAATCCCAAAAAGGAACTACTTTGGGGCCTATGGGTAGCTGTATCATGGTCTCGATGCAGGCTAGGAGGGTTGGGTTTGCTTCTTTGTTTTGGTTGGCCCTGGTTTCGTGCTTACCAGCTATGATGTGTGCTTGTTGATCCTAGGTTCGGGGCTTATGGATTTATGTGCATGGCTTGGGGCTTCCAGCATAAGATGAGAGCCTGAACAATTATGTAGCTGCAAGGGGCCTGTGTATGCCTTTATAGGGTTTCAGGCTTTGCATAGGGCTTGGGGTGAGGTGAAGCATTTGGGCTTTAGGGTTCAGTTGAGCGCACGAGCTTGGCGTTCGAGGAATGGCACTTCGGGCTTGGGGATTTGGGCTTAGGGGATGATTTGTCCCCGTACTTAGCAAGGACAAAGCTTGCATTGCAGGGTAGTTCACATCACGTATGATTGAGCTTCGATTTAGGGGATGATTAGGGTTTAGAGTTTTGAGTTTAGGGGTTTAGGGTTTACGGATCAAGGCTGAGGGTGTGGGGTTTAGGGAACACGAACACTGGCCGTGTTCGTCTGAAAACTAAACTCAAAGCCTGGATGGGCTTATTTCGGAGTTTCCGAAAATTAGGGCTACCTTATTCTGGGGTCCTTAGAACAAGGATCCTACTATTTAGGGTACTATGTAATGTCCACTATTTTCGGTTTTTGGGTCCTGAGAATAAGGATCCTACAATTTAGGATATTATAGTGGAGTCCCTTATTTTCGGAAACCCCCATACCGGGTTTCGGTCGGGAGGTCCGAAAAGTTATTAGAGGGCCTTGGGGTTCGAGGAATCGGACTTGGGCATTTGGGGTTTTCAGATCCCTTGCCAGCTTCAGTCTGATAGTCCACCCAAATACTTCATACGTGGGACTGTCCCAAAAAGAAGAAGGTACATGAGCACAAACTCACTCGCGCGCTCAACGGAGGGAGGTACAACGAGTCTAGCCCGAAATTAAAAGCCCTCTGAGTTGAACAGTCCGATTTGCTGGTAAGGACTGCCTACTTAACTGCTGAGTTCATAAGACTCCAAAAGTATACACTTTTAGTTGTATAGTGGGGAATCTTATCCCCAAAAGTGTAAAGTGCATCCACTCGCTTAAACAAGGAGCCTAGAAAAAGCGAAGTCTCGAGAGCCAGGAAAGGCTCCCAGGCTCGGTGCCAGAGTTGGAAACCCGGGTTCCTAGGGTTCCTTTAAAGGGGTCTATGAGGGTAATATACTATAAGGGTATGAGAATATAGGGGTCTTACAGTAGAAGCCGAAAAGTTGGAAAACCCCATAGCCTCGATACTTAAGAGTAATGTATAGGGAATCCCCAGCACTATTTGGCCTTAATAACCCTAAACCCTAAACCCCTAAACCCGAAACCCTAAACCCTAATAATCCGGCTTCCAAGTTTACTGTAGGTTAAGGAGGACCGGTACCTCCCGAAAGCCCTGTAATAGAGTTCTTATGGCCCTTAGTGGTGGGCATTTAGGGTATATGGGAGTTTCCGAAATTAGGGGTACCTTATTTGGGGGTCCTTATAATAAGGATCCTACTACCTAGGGTACTATATTAGGGTCCCCTATTTTCGGAAACTCCCATATTGGAGGGTACTTGAGAGGTCTAGGGAGGGGATCGGGTTTAGAGCTTCTGGCTTTTGGGCTTCGGGCTTCTGTTCACAACCCGGCGCTCCAGCACACCCCAGGTGGGAATTCTTGTGGGCAAAACCAAAACCCTAAATTCCGCGCCCTACACCCTAAACACCCGAACATTCCATAAACCTCAACCCTAAACCCTAAAGACTGCTTTTGAACGCCTGCTCTAGCGCCCCCCGCCCTCCTTCCCTCCCCTCTTTTCGGGTGCCCTTTGGAGGGAGAAGGGGACCTCGAGTCAAGGCCCGCCAATGAAGCAAGTGCACCGCCCAAGCCCTGCAGGGAAAACTCGGGATCCTTAAAGGGGTCTATAAGGGTTACTATAAGTTATAAGTGTACTATAATATAGGGGCCTCAATTAATTACCTATACCGTTTTGGGGGTTCCTTATTATGATTATAGTATATTGGGCCCCAGCTTTTGGGTTTAGGGTTTAGGTGTTTCAAGGGCTTAGAGCTTTGTGTTGAGCGGTTGGGGAAGAGTGCTTCGGGTGCTGTATGTAAGGGCTTCATGGAATTTATGATGGCTTTACTCAGACTCCACAAGGGTTGTACAAGGGTGCTGGGTTCAGGGTGTGGGGTTCAGGAACACCATCCAGTTATGACATGTCTTCCAAGGCTCTGCAAGGACTTCAACGAGCTTGTTTAACGACAGTACATGGAGCTACCATGAAAATGAGTGTATACTGCTCACAATATCTATCTCGCAGTAACTTAAAACATTCTGCTAAGCAAGAGCCCAGAACGGAGGGTTCGTGGCTCAGGGGTTTTAGGGCTTGGGGTGCGGTTTTGGGGGGTACGATCGTTCTGCTTGCGGGGAGACTGTTGGTGGGTTGCGGGTCTACGGCTTTAGGTTCGGAATGCCGTAAACCCCCATACCCTAAAGGCTGAATCATGTTTAACATCTGCGTAAAATTAGGAGGTTGATACCTTGAGTAAAGGGGGCTCTACCCAGAGGCCCCATAGTAGACCTTTTTGGGATGACCTTGTTGGATTTAAAAAGGAGCTACTATGGAGACTCAGGGTAGAGATGCCGAGCTAAGCAGATTGGGCTTTAGGAGTCACGACTCAATCCTCGGGCCCGCCTCATCAACTCGACGGGCCGCGCTTCTTCTACCTAACCCTGAGGCTCCATAGTAGTTCGTTTTGGGGTTAGTTTAGAATCCTCTTAGGTAATCCGAAGAAGGAACTATTATGGGGCCTTTGGGTATCCCGTACGCACAACATGGGCTTTATGATTCAACTTTGAGCTTTCGGGTCTAAGGCCCAGTGGCATTTTAGCTGCCCAGATGGCTATATGAACCTATGACTGCACAGCTCTGGACTTTTTTCCGGAGTCACAGAGTGCAGTGCGATGAATAATGAACATATGCTGGCGGTTGTGTGTTTATGGCTGCAATTTCCGCCAAAGACACATTGCTTCTGCCTGAAAGACTGCCTCAAACTGTAAAAAACAAAGCTCGCCTCTCAAATACCCCAGCCCTAACCCCCAAACTCCTGAAAGATCACCCTTTATTATACATCCCTAAAGACAGTTATCAGTTGAAGCTGCATGCTGAAGTCGCCGGAAAGGCCTCTTCCGGGCCGTCCCATCTCAGCATCTCTTCCAGGGCCTCTGCTGGCTCCGACTTATTAACTCTAAGGCTGCTGTGTTTCTGGTCAAGGGCTTAGCGTTAAGGCTTACCGTTCCTTTTTTTGTTTAACCAGTTTTGTGGTTAGGATTCTGTAATAGAGATTTTGGTTAGGAACTACAATGGAGACTATAGGTAGGGTTTCAGACTTATGGTTTGGGCTATTTAGGTACTGGGGTCGTGCCAGTAACTAAGCACACACAAAACCTTAAGATTCTCAGCCGTGTCAAACCAGCCAAAGGTACCGTCTCACAATCCCAACCCCTCAGGGTCCATGTAGTCACCTCCCTAAACCCTAAACCCTTTTTTTGCCATAAACCCTAACCCCTAAACATCACCCTTTCTAGCATATACTTCGGCCTTAGAGCACCTATACGCCTATCTAGAATGTAGGAACCAAACAGGAATGCCTTTTCAGGCCAAAGTCTATCTATATGGGAGTTTCCGAAAATAGGGGACCCTAATAAATCCCCCCAAATAGTAGAATCCTTATTATACTGACCCCAAAATCAGGGCCGATAGCAAAGTACCTAAATGCTTTGTAAAGGTTTTGGGAGTATCGATTATCGTGTCCCGTATCACCTGGTTGTGGATGAAGACGACGAATGCCTTGAATAGATCTGTCCCATGTTCTCTCAGATAGCCGGGTGCTGAAGAAAAGCAGCTCTGCCTCAGAAAAACCCTAATTCCTAATCCCCTTAACCCTAAATGCTGAATCCCTAAACCCTACACCCTCCTCGTAACCCCAAGCGTAGCTTGTGGCCGAAACGAGCCTAAAGCACGAAACTCGAGGTGCTATAGAAGCCAGCATTACCGATACTATTCCTGCGGCTCTTATTATGAGCGTAGTATAAGATACCCCAGAAAAAACACTGAGGATTCGGACCGCAAGGCCTATTCTGACCCCCGTGTTATAGTAGCCTTCCTTCCATTTTGTTGGCATCCAAGTAAACGAAAAATGCACACGAATCCCGATGCCATTGCTGATGATGCTGAAAGCTTGCGAACGACCCTAGGCTCCATAGTTGTTCGCTTTTGCGGCTCATGTTTAAAACCCTATAGGGTAAACCCAAAAAGGAACTCCTATGGAGCCTCTGGGTATATACTATCAGGCGACTGCAAAACCGCAGCACAGGCTGAGATCATTGCGCGTACTTACTGTTCCGATTCCAAGAACGTGATCTTCGCCGGCCACTTCTCACAGCAATCTTTCGAAGCCAAACCCGAAGATAGAGGCCTGAATAACTAGAATAGGGTTTTGGGGCATGGTACATTAATTATAATACGGAGCCCCCAAAACAGTATAGGCAGTTTATTTAAGCCCATTTAGTAAGCATAGCCCGTGTTGTGGGAATCAACATCAAACCCCAGACCCTAAACGTGTAAAACCTTGCTTTTCCTGCTGTCGACCTTAAACTTTTAAACCCTGTTTTTTTTGCTTTTGGCCCTAAACGTTCAAACTCTGCTTTTTGCTATTGGCCCTAGCGTTCAAACTCCGCTTTTTTCATTTCTGACTCAAGTCTAGCCAAGCGTTTGACTCCAAAACCCTCAAACGTGCACACCGAATATGGAAACTCCTGTTTGAAGTATTTATAACCTGCGAGCTAAGCATTCCACGACGCAGGTTTAGGGTTTAAGGCGTTTAGGTTGGAACTTCATTGTTGCCGTTTCGAGTCATCCCAGTCATGACAGAAGCCCCTAAACAGTAAACACCCCCGGCAGATCCAGAAAGTCTGAAGCAACGACTGGAAGCCACGCGCTCTTAAACTAGAAACCTAACTCTCAGAGCCAAGCCCCGCACAACAAATCTCTATATGGCCTAAACCCTCAAATCCCCTACTAAAGCCGTAAAGCACTTAACCCGCAAGCCGAAATCCTAAACTCTGAGAGCCCTAAATGCCTTGTAGATCACCGGGTCCATTGCGACTGCGGCGGCCCAGTTCCGAACTCAGCATTGGGTATCTTCACGGGATTGTGTAAGCCTTTGGGGGGGCTTTACGGGGCCATATCCATATATATATATATATGTGTGTGTATATGTACATACATACACATACATACATGACAAACATTCTTACACCTCTTTACAGGCAAGCACACGTGCGACGCACGCACACACACACACAGACACTGACACAGACAGACAAACAGACAGACGCGCACACACACACACACACACACACACACACACACACACACACACCCACCCACACACCCACACATCCACACACGCACACACACACACACACACACACTTGCAAACTCCATGGTGGGAGTAGCTAGAGCGATTTACATGTCTTTACAGCTTCATCTCAGTGGTGCACTGCACAATCAATGTACAGCAAGAGTCCTATCGGGGTTCTTGGCTTAGCCCCTTGCCATAATCACTTGCAGGTACGTGATCCCAGCGTCCCAGGATCATATCACACTCAGCAGACAGGCGTCTTCGTTGGCGTGAGTCCTGTCTGTGAGCCTCAAGCCCCCTGCGGATTTGGTCCCTTTGCTATCAGGGCTGTGCACACACAGCTACTTCCCAATTTTTGGGAAGTAGCATGCCATTCGTCGTCTGGGGGTCACCATGACGCTTCGCAGGTCAACGCCGCAGCCACGTCATGGTGCCCTTGAAAAAACGCGTCGTCTGGGGTAAGGGTCCTGCCCCATTGAGGCTTGGGTCCTGGCCTCATGCAATCAAGGAATCAATCAAGGAATCAATCAAGTTGAAAAGAATCAAGGAAACAATCAAGTTGAAAAGAAGCAAGGAATCAATCAAGTGAACAACAGCATGCAGGAAATTGTCAAATCAAGACACTTCATTCAAGGTCTCGATCAATTGAATCAAGTAATGAATCAAGTTGCTACGCCCGGCCCTTTGACAGAATGCCGGTCGAGAACACACTTGCAAACTCCATGGTGGGAGTAGCTACAGCGATTTACTTATCTTTACAGCTTCATCTCAGTGGTGCACTGCACAATCAATGTACAGCAAGAATCCTATCGGGGTTCTTGGCTTAGCCCCTTGCCATAATCACTTGCAGGTACGTGATCCCAGCGTCCCAGGATCATATCACACTCAGCAAACAGACGTCTTCGTTGGCCTGAGTCCTGTCTGTGAGCCTCAGGCCCCCTGCGGATTTGGTCCCTTTGCTATCAGCGCTGTACACACACACACACACACACACACGCCCACACGCCCACACGCACACTCGCACACTCGCACACACTCGCACACGCGCACACACGCACACACGCACACACACGCACACACGCACACACTCACACACTGGAGTGTGCTAATAGTGCCAAGGGCTTGGACATGTAGATGATTGTAGATGTCGTGTAGTTGATAACGGATCTGATAACGGCGACCTTGGTCGTCGTCGCGTCGTGTCGCTGATCTTTCAGGCATGGGTCCGGGAACTGGAGAGTAGGATCCAGTCCTCTTGCGGATAGCAGCTGCATGAACCCGCTCATGTAGTCCACAGTGCAGGTACAGGGAAACGTGTCAGCTTCCCAGCTTCATTTCGCCACCCGCTACCCTGCATGTTTCATACACACATGTATGATTACATATATGCACACATGAACGAATGAAAGAAAGAATGATTGATTGAATGTGTGTATGTATGTATATATGTACCATACATATTTGTTCATGTGTTTGCATTTTCTTAGCTTAAGTAACTATTCATAAGGCGATCGGATCTTCTTGTTTCCACAGATGTATGTACTGACATTTGCAAAGGCACACATAAAAACACACAAAAAGAAAAGACTCTCAGCCCCGGGCCAGTGGCGACGCGCCCGTCAGCGGATTTCAAACTCCGGTGGAGTTCCTGGTTCCTGGTTGGGCTCTGACATGACAAGCAGTCTCAAGATGCCCAAAGTGAGCGAGGCGAGAACGCTGTGCTCGGGGATCTAAGCTATCTTGCTGAAATGGCGCGGGGTTTACGACTCAGGAAACTTTACAAACCCTAGACCCATGTTGACGTTTGCATGGTTTGCTGGAGCTGCCGATCGGCTCTGAAGGTTGTGTGACCAGGGTGATGCAGCCGAAATCATATCACCACCCTAAGGCTCCGTAGTAGTTCCTTCTTGGGATTACCTTCTAGGATTCAAAAAATGAGCCTCCATATCACAGCAAACAAAAAAACACATTACATGCATATGTACATAAATTCATACATGCAGACAGACAGGCAGACAGACATTCTTGCATACATACGGTGAAACTCCGCTGCTCAGAAGTCAACGAAAGGGTCCGCTGAAAGAGATCCCTTCAAGGAATCTAGAAGCTTCTGGTCGGATGGGATCTATTCTCCGGGATTCGGCGTTGAGGTCAACCCCATGGGGAACTCCAGAAAGTTGGAATATGGTTTCAAGGTAGGATACCTTATAATTTCCCATAAAGGGTTTAAGAAAACCATATTCCAACTTTCTGGCTTTTACTTTAAATGTATTCGTTCCCTTCGATTGCCAAGCAGCAGGAAGGCTACGAGCTCTTCACAAGTTTCGGCCTTGATCGCCCCCGAGACCTTCGGGCTATCTAGGGCCCGACGGTTGATGATACAAATCCTGCATTACCCATAATGAGGAATATACCAGCATTCTCATAGTTTAGGGTCCTTAAGGTAATGCAGGATTTATATCAACCGTAGGCTTCAGGGTTTCGAGTGTGTGGGGGTCTAGAACAGTAGGCGGGCTTGGGACTTTTGCATCGTAGGCTCTCGAGATCCGCCAGGTTCGACATTGTTTGATTCTTTAGCTGTTCGGAACGGGAAACTCTACTACTCCCTAAACCCTAAACCCCAAACCTCCACACCCCCTGAACCCGAAGCCCTCAGATCCAGCACCCCTTATCGACCCAGGACTCTCAAATCCACCTCCCTACCCCAAGGCTCCATAGTAGTTCCTTTTTGGGGTTCCCTAACGGTCCATGTGCTCATATAGTATATACATTGGCCATACTGTAGTCCCTATAGAGGTACTTTGGGGGCTCATGTATCTCTACATGGGTACGCAGACCCTTAGGGGTTCATGTTTCGAATCCTAAAAGGTAATCCCAAAAAGGAATTACTATGGAGCCTTAGGGGAAAAGAGGACCTTTCTAAAGACCAACGCCCAAAAAACAGACCCCACACCGCCAAAGTCTCAGCGGGAGGCCTTGTCAGATCTTTAAACCGTCAATTCCCGTAAACCGGCCCGAGCCCAGAAGAACTGCAGGCTCCTATGGGGCTGGTGGTTTAGGGTTTATAGGGTTTTGGTGCTCTCAAAGGCTGTAGGTTCGGTTTCCTACTTGTCGGGTATCATGGGGAACTAAAGGTTAATCTTTTTGGTTATATAGGGATCATATATACACAGACATATATATATATATACACATAGATATAGATAGGGACTATACTACCTAAAAAAGGTTAAAGGTTACCTACTCTACTACTAGGGTTTTGTCAACATTTACTGTGCTTTGGACGTTGGAGGCAGAAGGATCCGGGGCCAAAGGGTTCGGGGCTCTGGGCATTGAGGGTAAATACAGGGGCTTCAAGAAGGAGAACAGCGTTTTGGGAGGTTGGGTAAATTATAGTGTTGATGGACAGAATCCTGCATTACCCATTATAAGGAATATACCATAGTTCCCATAGTTTAGAGTCCCTAGGGTCATGCAGGATTTTGTCCATCAGCAGTACCACAGACAGCATTGGGGGCCTTAACAGAGTTCCTTATTACATGGGTGGCTGTCAAAATTATGGTCCCTTTTTGGGGTCCCTAATTTAATACGGCACCTATTATTTAGGGTGCCCAAAAAGGTACCCTAATTTTGACAACTACCCACATGTATAGTATCAGATACCCCAAAACCCTGTTCGAATTATTAAGGCCCCTACATTACGTCCCCCGCGTCGCACCTGCAGCAGGCCCTGTTGCCGGACACCATCCCAGCGGCTTTGGGTCAGAGCCTCGTCATCTGCAGCTCTTTTTATTGTGTCTTAGTGTTTGGTCTAGGGTTGAGGGTTTAAGGTTTGGGGTTTAGGGTTTGGATTTGAGAGCGCTTCTTCTGCTATATAGGAGGAGGTTTGGGGTTCGGGTTCTCAGGTTCAGGGCTTGAAGTTCTTACGGTTGCCCTGCGCATCCGAGGCTGGTCGCGTGTCTTTTGAACAAAGCGGCGAGCGCATCGGTGCTGTCTCCAATTGTAGGCTGTATTCTGGGTGGGAGCGAAGGTGTATTTGTAATTGGCAGCAACTGGCAGACTTAGTGAGCTTAATGTGATCCTTGTATCCGGATGAGAGGTACATGATGTATTGGATCGGTTGGCCAAGAAATCTTCAAAGTTGCGCGAGCCGTTGCTGGGCGGTTGGGACCTATCGTTGTGGAGTATAGGGCTCAAAGCCCACGCAGGGTTTAGAGGTATAGGCTTTAAGGGATTAAGTCTCGGAGGTTGCACGGTCCACCAAAGTACCTGGATGCAGGTATCGAGGTTTTGGATTCTTAGGGTGTGGGCTCGAGCATTAGATGCCGGATGTGCGATTGAAAGTCTGGGCAGCAAATCCATCCTTGAGGACGAAATGAGCCCTAAGAGGCATACTAAGAGGTACTACTATATATCGAAGATCTGCAATCTCTGCTTTGCTCCCAAGCTGTTCTTACAGTATACGGAAGGTTCTTAAACAAGGGCCTTTAGAGCTTTGCCCCGACATTCTTCCATAATATTCTGGTGTACGGCTTCAGCGGTTCGGGTAAACGACCTGTTTGTAGGGCTTGCCGCCGATGCTCCTGAAGGCTTATCGTCGCAACTACTTACAAGGCCCAGTGGGTGTCATCTGAAATCAGGCTCTTTTTCGAGTCCGCACCAAGAACTACGGCACTCTGATGATAAAGGATCTCCTAAGAGATTAAAAATTACACCCTTTACACCCTAAACCTCTAAGCCCTTAAACCCTGAACTTAAGATGGCAATGGGTCCGCCTCAGAGGAATCGCCAATCTTCATCCGCAGCCTTGGTCATGGTTGGAGGCCACAAAATGATAGCCCCTTAAACTTTATTACGGTTAAGGCTTTAGGGGTTTAGGGCGTTTAGGGTTTAGGGGTTTGGGGTTTAGGGTGTGCAACAGTATGCGCGCGGTGGGTGCGCCTTTTACTTTAGGAATAAGGGACGCACCCACTAATCGCGCGCTCGCGTCAGCATGTAGTCCCGCCCCACCCCAACTATTCTCAATGGGTTCACCCCCAAACCACCCTCAAGGGGGGCTTTCTTGCTCGCTGCTTCCTTTCGCAGCTCGACATGTAAACAGCAATATTCCTCCAGATATCACAGCTGAGATGGATTGCTGTCGGGTTGTGGGTCCTCGCGGCCTGTGCCGGCCGCTCGACGAAAAGCAAGGGTTTCCAACAAGGAACTTGGTTCCTGTAAGGGCCGCTCGAAGAGGGCAGCGGGCGTCGACCGACAACATACATGTATGTATATAGGTCTGTGCATATGTACATATACATGTATATGTAATAACTAGGTATACTCGCAATTTTGCATGAATGATAAAGCAACAGCATGTGGTAAAACGACAATCCTGTTCAGTAGTTTAGAAATGAGTGCTCTTGATTGTAAGCCTTACTACGGTTTTAGGGTGCGAAGCTTACTTGATGTATCAGGGCACTTGTAAACCGGTTGTAAGTAGAGCCAATCCGTGCCTTAAATGGGGTAACGCCTACTTACTAGGTCCTTTGATCCTCTAAGTGGGTGGCTGTGGAAAATTATGGTCCCTTTTGGGGTCCTTATGATAATACAAAAACCAACATGTTTAGGGCACCCCAAAAAGGACCCTAATCTTGACAACCGCCCAAGTAGGGTTCAGGCTAAGGCTTTTCGGCGAAAAACTTCCGGCTTAAGGCTTTGGGGCTACTTGGAGGTTCATGGATAGTTATAAGGGTTCCTTTAAAGGGATCTATAGGGATTCTGTAAGGGTATAGGGTTTAGGGTCTACTTGGAGGTTCATGGGTAGTTATAAGTGGGGCTATAATTAGGGTAACTATGGTTATATTATACCCCCTATTCGGGGACTTCTAAACCCATTTATAAATACCCATGAACCTCCAAGTAGCAGCTAGTTGTATGGAGCCATGGCTGTTTGACCAACTCTCTCAACCCGCAGCATTGAAAAGTGGGCCCTCAATAATTAGAACGCTTTTGGGATATGCGGTGGCATATGTATTTCAAAAAACAAATTTTCCAACTCGCCCCGAGTTACTTTCAAGGAAGAGTATTCATGGCTTACGTGCAGTAGTGACATACTTTGGCGGGTCGGCGAATGAGGCTCAGCATAGATATTGGGGCCTTAAGAAGAGATAAGGGATACTACAAAGGCGACTGTGAGGGTTTATTATTGGGGCCTTTACACTTAGAACAAGTCTTTGGGGCTTTGAAAACCATGCGCCGGCCAAGTAACTCTATAAGGAACAGAAGTTCGTCAATTATTTCGGATCCTGCCTAAGCATTTAAACCTGCACATGCAAGTAGAAAAGTGTACATCCATACATACTTGCATACATATATCCTATGCATGCATACATACATCCTTTATCGAAGCATTCCTGCTGCCCTAGGCCCGACGCGCCAATACCCGACTCGACACTCCCCGGCTTGCAGGAAAAGTGCGGTCGCTGCTGCATGAGCTGCTCGATCTCGTACTCTGGAAGGGACTCCTGTGGCTTCTGCGAATTACGTGGCGGTAGATCTCCTGTTGGAGATTAGGGGCTTCTTATACATATGTATACATATACAGATACGTGTGTCTTTTGAGCTATCTATTTATCTATCCATCTATGTAGGCTTTAGGGTTTATTCAGGGTTCAAGGTTCAGGGCAGTCACCCAAAGCAAGCAAGCTTCTATTCTGGCCAGGATCCTGCTACTTTTGTGGCCCTACCTGGACCCTGAGGAACCTATACCTTTGTAGGGCCCCCTATTATTACGTATTTCTTTGCATAAGTCCCTAAAAAGGTAGGTTATTTGGGGTCAAGGTATACATATGCTGCGATGCCTCCATGCAAACCAAAAAAGTAGGGATTCAAGTCTTGGCTCAGGGTGAAGGAGCTTCTGAATTTAGGGTCAATTGTTTTTGTGGCGTGAAATCGCACCACCTACTTCGCCGGGAGAGCAGGTTAGGGACCCAGGCGGATGAGATAGTTCAGAGTTCATGGGGGACTATGAGCAGATAACAAGAGAAAGTCATTCAGACCGGTTAAGCCCACCGCAGCCAGAGGCTGCATGGTAGTTCCGTTTTGGGATTACCTTATAGGCTTCTAAATATGAACCCCAAGAGTAACTACTATGGAGCCTTAGGGTGGCCATGCAGCTCAGCATCAGAGACGTCCCGGCCATTGATCTCCACCAGAACCTACCCAAGATGTAGCTTAGGGCTTAGGGGTTCAGGGTTTTGGGGTTTACGCTCTCACAACTCGGACACAGCCAGGCGAGGTTCTTACGTGCGGAGTCGGTGTGAACAGTCGAATGAGGTCGATTCTCGGGTGTACCAGTTCACCAGGGTTTAGGGCTTAGGGGTTTAGGGTTCTGGGTTCAGGGTGTAGGGTTTAGGGATTAGGGTTTAGGATTTAGGGTTTAGGGCTTAGGGGCTTTTTGGGGTTTAAGGTTGTTGGGGGTTCAGGGCTTAGGCCCTCGGCTCTGGAGCACGGTGTGGGGTTTAGGGTTTAGGGACTACGGTTTACGCTCTCGCAACTCGCAGTTTGGGATTCCCCAAGCCCTGAAAAATTGAGGCCTAGACAGCTTGCACTGCGGTGAATCGTATTTGCAGATGTACCAAAAGAAGCCAAAAAACCCTCGTCCAGCTTTAAGTAGGGCATTAGTTTCTGTGGTTTACTTATTTCTGGGTTGTAGGCTCCCAGTTCTGCGGAAAAGACCTGAAACACTCAAGGTGGGCTGTCGGTGCTCGGCTGTCTCCGCCCTTAACCCCTAACGCAGGGGCCTTAATGATTAGACTGAGGCTTTGGCTAAGAAAAGAGTACTACATGCAATGAAACCTGGGAAGCAATATTGGCAATATTTGTCGCCTCTTTACTACTATCAGTGAGAGAGTTGAGGTCTTAGATTCTAGGGCTCAAGTTCTAGGGCTCAGTTACAGCTGATGGCATCATGGCGCCGTTGCTGTTTTCTTCACATTCTCGCTGCCTTCCGAGCACTTTCGCTCACGTTACCATGCAGCGCCTCCCGATGTTGTCGAGTCCGTCAGCATGGATTCGGTAGCATGGTTCTGGGGTTGCCATACGGCTGATGAAGTAAATCCCGCATTACCTTAAGGACCTTAGACAACTATGGTATATCCCTCATTTTTGGTAATGCAGGATTTATATCATCAACCGTAGCAACGGAGATCAACACAGAGATACTGATTGCGGAAGGGATGAAGACCAGCTTCGGGAAACAGAAACGAACAGACATAATTACCAGCGTCAGGATTCCAGGAGCTGCGGGACTCAACGTTCAACACTGTATGGGCCTTGTATGTGGTCTTCTGGTCCCTTCAGCCCAAAGGCTCCATGTACCTTTATAGTCGATACTTAAGCCTTAAAGGGGTCCCTATATGGGTACTTTAAGGCCTAAGTATGTACTATATGGGTACATGGAGCCTTAGGGAAGTTTACACAACAATACTGCAATGCAGCGTGACTCCAACTTCGAGGAGATCCGTTGCTGTGCACTCTGCTCAGGGGATGTTTGTATTTGGTAGAAAGAAGCAGGAAAAAAGAAGGCCGTCGGCCGCGATTGAGAAAACGGAATGGGTACAACTTCGTATAATAAACTCGAGATGGTGAAACCTTAAATGCCTCGTACTCAAAGCGGTGAAACCTTAACCACCTGTCATGTGTCAGGTCGACCTATCGTGACGCCTGCCGACATGAGAGGCAAATCAATATAGGGGCCTTATAATTAGAATGCGGTTTCGGGGCCCATTATACTATCATTATAACAGGGAGCCCCCCCAAAATAGTATTGGTAATTCTTGAGGCTCCTATACTCAATCCGTATAATAGCCCCCCATTATTAAGGCCCCTACCTTCGTGAGGCCGGTATAGGAAGAAGGCCACCAGCGTCAACCCTCTTCCGGATCAGGCCTTTCTTTGCACCTAGACTCAGACAATGACCCTAGTAGAAGTTCGTTTTTATTGAAATACCATGTAAAACTCAGAGACTAACCCTAATAGAGTTAGTAGAAGTTCGGCTTTTTGTTGAGCTACCTTGGTTGTTGCCTAAGAGTTCATCAGGTCGAGCTCAAATGAAGAAGCAATCCTCCGGCGTGTCTTCGCTGGCATCGCGAGAACTCGAGCCTCGCAATGCCTCGACCAAGGACTCGGGTGCGCCGACAACGTGCGCAAGATCCGCCGCAGTCTTCTTGCGAGAATTTTGGACATCCGGGCAAGCCCCGGCAGAGAGAAGAAGAGAAGCAATCTCGAAGCTGCCGGTCAAGATGGAAAACCTCAGTTTCCCAAACACATCGATGAAACCAGGCAAAACATCTTTAGCTGCTTGCAACACATGTAGCGAAAAACCAAGAACAAGTAGTCGCAAAGGTTAGCTGCGAAGACATCAAGTCAAACTGGAAAACTCAGGAATGCTAAACCCTAAACCCCAAAGGAACATCAAGGGCGTTGCCCCTTTGTGATGATACGCCAGCAACGTCCAGCTTGATGGGCTAATCCTGTGCCTGGGCTGCCGCTTTAGAGTTTAGGGCTGTTTAGGGCTGGTAAAACGATATGTATTTGTCAAGTAGCCCAGGGGAAGTAAAGGTTAACCTTTGGGGTTGTATTGGGGTTATAGTAACCCCAAAGAAGCTTTGTATAGGTTACCTACGCTACGAAAAAAGCCTACAGAAGTACACATTTTCAACTTTCAGAGTAGTGCGAAGCACTCGGGCTGTGCCAGTCCTCACGGAAGTTAACCATTAGGTACTGTTACGGCAGTGCTATATACACCCAAGAGGCTGCCTTGGGTTGGTTTACGATGTCTAGATCCCTCAGAAGCCCTGTATTAATGTCCCAAAACTTCACTGCGAATTGTGAAGGGAAGGATCATTTGTGTCTGGTGTGATAGGCTCATAGACAAAGTCAGACACACAACCTACCGACCACATGGTTGTGTACTTTCCGGCAGAAGCTGTTGACATAGAGCCTAAACCCTGAGGCAGTTCCTGAGGTGCCATATGGGAGTTTCCGAAAATAGGGGACCCCGAAGTAGTACCCTAAATAGTAGGATCCTTATTGTAAGGACCCCACAATGAGGTACCCCTAATTTTTGGAAACTCCCATATCATGCCAGGATGCCGCGCACTTGCCACATTCAGCAGGATCCACCAAGCCGGCTGCTGGATCTGGATGTCGAATGGCTCATTCAAATTGGCTCTGGCTCGTAACAAGAACCGAAGTGGCTCTTCATAGGCACCATAAAAAAGAAGGGCATAATGCAGGCCGAGTCGTAAGCTTGTCGAGGGCACTTGAATCAGAATCTCGGCCATCGCGTCCACAGCTCCGTTTGAACATGCAACTTCGAAGACGTTCATGCCGACGAAGTTTCGCCGTTGAACGTCTGCACGTGCCTGGCACAGAAGGCGCAGGCCAGCAGCGTTGTTTGCGAGGCTCGCCCAATGTGCCTAGTTCATGGTTGGGATAGGGTTAAAGATTTGAACTACTATTCCTTATTGGGTTTAAGTACCCAATAAAATGCCAAATGTTACCCAACCATTATTCCTTACTGGGTTTAAATACCCATAAAAATGAAAAGTTGTTACCCAACTATGACGAAGGTGCGGCAGTGGCATTGATCATGTCTGCACTCGTAAGCGTGGCACGAGCTTCCAAGAGTATCTCCATCACCTGTGCAGCAGCTGCTTACCTTGGGTTAGTAGGGTTTAGGGTTTAGGGCATGGAGGAATGGGGTACAAATACAACTACTATTATTACCATTCTTCCATTCCCTACTAATCAAAGGTAAGGCTGTTGGATGTTGAAACCGCGTGTTCTCCTAGCCTAGAAAGCCACTACTCGTCATGAGTCATCAAACAAGCTAACGGTGGAGATCGTGAAAGGCTTTGACTGGGGATGCTTGCTATTGCAATGCCAACCAGCTTGAAATCCCATAAATCCTAAACTTGAAACCCCTCAAGTCTAAAACCTATATCGAAAACATGAAGTACCTGAGCCCGTACACCCTTACATAGCCCATGAACCCCAAACCGCCCTGAGGCTCCAGCTCCAAAACCCACCCTGAAACCCTTAGTCTAACTAACCCTAGCCCCCCCCCCCCGGGGCGCCCCCAAATCCGGCTACCTAAGGCCTGCCTCATTGTTGTGGAAATGGGCCGCCATGGATAGCACGCCCACCCTTGCCTGGGTTCTTGCTGATGAGTTTCGGGTGTATTGCAGGGGTACTATACCGCAAAGGGTTTGTACGGGGCATTTGCTGTAAGTTACTCTATTCGGGATTTGGAGTGTCATGTAACTCTAACTGAGTTCTTCCGCCAGAACCCTCAACCCCAAACCCTCAGCTCTTATCCATGGAATCCAAAACTTTCAGTCTCTTTTCTTAAACAAAAACCAAACCCTAGCCCCTACGTAGTAGAAGGGCTTGAATAATGAGGATATGGTTCTGAGGTACATCATAACATACTCTTAATGAGGAACCCCAGAAGAGCATAGCAGTATTGGTAATCTTAGCTGCTGAGTTCAGAAGCCCCCCAAAGTGTACACTGTTGGTTTTATAGTGTTGTGTATCCACTCAGCTATTAAGTAATAATCTCAGCTCCTATATGACCCAAAGGCTCCATGTACCCATACAGTAGGTACGTAGGCCTTACAGTATCTACAGAGGGACCCCTTTAAGTACCGATAGAGGGACCCCTTTAAGGCCTACGTATCTACCATATGGGCACATGGAGTCTTAGGGTGAAGAACACTCCCAGGTGCCGGAAACAGAGACCCCTCCGACCGTCTGAGCCGATCGTCCGGATTCGCCTTCCAGGGAGATCCGTGTCTAAGGTTTAGGGTTTAGGGTTTAAGATTCACGAGGGTCTAGGGTTTAGGGTTGAAGGTTTAGGGTTGAAGGTTTTGGGTCTCGAAACTACACAGAGAGGGGCAACTTGTCATTTAGCCCAAACCTCTGCCTGAATATAAATGTATACATATGGTGCCACCCCTCATGGTCTTCTGAATCAGCTAGTTCAGCTGCTTAGGGCTCAGAACAAAGCTAAAAATGCTGGATCTTTCGGGGAAGGAGGGTAGCACACATATATGAAGATAGAAAGACAGGTACGTAAACAGATAGACATACATAGGTATATAAATAGGTATACAAGTGTACAAAGTATGTATATATATATGTATCATGTATA